TGGAGCTGATGACATTTAAACCATCAGTTTGTATTCTCCAAATTGTATGTTCTCTATTGACCACAATATCATGGCATAATTATGAATTGGCCTCATTTAATCCTTGGAGCATTCATGCTTCAATGGATTCTGTCCCCCATCTCCTTCCTTCCTTCCTTCCTTCCTTCCTTCCTTCCTTCCTTCCTTCCTTCCTTCCTTCTCCTGCTAGTCTCCCACCAAAGGTCTAATCAGGTCTGAGTCTCTTAACTTTTTCTTGATCAGGCAAGAACAGCAAATGTTGCCACCTGCAGTGACATTCCATACTTACAAATAGTTAAGCCGGGTCTTCCGGATGCACTTCAAAGTACCAACAAGGCCTCAGAGGAGAACCTCAAACAAAGACCAGCACGAGGTGGGCTTCCTTCATGATCTCTGAAATGACTCTATGGAAATTTATCTTAGGCCAGCTCGATTCAAGCCTGGTGTTGCTAACTTAGGCTGGCAATAGCATGTTGTGTCTCTAAGGAACAGAAGAAGAAGAGGGGTCCTCCCATGGCCACCTTCTTTAAAAAGAAACTTGCATGTAGAACTTCCTGTGGGCAAACCAGGAGTCCCACCAACCGAGCGAGCAAAACCAGCTTTCAGCAGAAGACAACATATATAACTCAGGACTGAACTGTGGCATTCCTTGACACTCTCTGAGCTTGTTGATTGCAGACGTTTCATTACCCGACTAGGTAACATCATTAGTAAACAGCACTGATGCTGCTGCTAGCTGTGTAATGAAATGCCCGCAAGCAAACAACCAAGCTCGGAGAGCATCAAGGACCACCAGCTCTATCTACTGAGAATGCCTCCCTGTAGTGGCTCAGAGTTTGTCTCTCCAAACTGAGTGCATTTTCCCTTCCCCTTGAGGGAGGGGAGTGTGTTCAAAAGAGGCAAACAACATAGACGATAGTTGTGATGCTCCAAGAATTGCAGGATCCTGCCAGCTGGGAAGCTACAGCCTATGAAATATGCATCTCCATGAACAAAGTAAGATGAAACTGCCAGGGCTGGGGAAGCAGAAGAGCACCACCGTCCTTCCTTCTTCTTCTCCCCCCCCCACCCCCGATGCTTTCAAGCTGATGGGGAGGGAAAGCAGTGAGGTATAAGAGGAGCAAAGTTTTCTTTGGTCCCGCCTCGGAACAACCCTATGCAACACTTGGGGGAGGGATAGAGGTCAATGGACAGATGAGTCCATGGTCTTCCCAGGAATTCTCCCCTGTGGGTGACTGCTGGGTGCCCTGCAAGCGAGCTAAGGAGAAGGCCCTGGAGAAGACCTGGAAGCCTGATTGCTACTGAAATATCCGTTTCACTTTTAGGATGAGTCCTCCTGATATATATAATTTCTGGCAACATTAATTTAGGGCCCTGGGGAGGGGGTTGCTAAAGGACACTTGCTCCTTTGCTACCTGACTTCCACCTCCAGCTACAGATTGATCATGAATCTTGTAGATTGCACTGAGGCACTTCAGAAACAAAGGCTAAATAATTCAGAGCATATCCAATCATCAATTTGGGAGGCAGATTGTATTTTAACAGGTGTTGAGATAGTATAAAGTCTTACTATGGTATATTTTAAAGGAACTTTATCCTTTATCCTTTATATATGTTATAAAGTTAAGATTATCATCCAAAATCTTTTTGCAGGTTCACCAAGCAACTGAGAACAGAGGACCTTCTCTGTAGCAGCACCCAAACTCAGACGCCTGCAGAAGTCGCCAGCTGACTTCTCTTTTAGGCAATACATCCAAACTATTTTATTCTCTCACCCTGCCGGCTAGAATAATACCGTAAACTCTATTGCTACTTTAATCTTCTCTTATTTCTGCTTGCTGAATAATGTTTGATTGTTTGCTTTCAGTCAAATGTGGACTTTATTATTATTATTATTATTATTATGAATAATTTTATTCCAGGATGAAAGCTGCCTCGAAGACCTGCATACTGAAAAGCCCCATTTAAAGTGTTAGTGGTTTATGTAGTAAAGATTAGGACCATTTCCCCCCCAGCCAGGTCAGTCTGGCAGAGAGCAGGGAAGTAGGAGTAAATGCTGCCTCCAGACCCTTCCTACAACTCAAATGACCCAGGAAAGCAGTGAGCGTCTTACATGAAAGGGCAGGAACAAAAGTGGATGGTGCCCTGCTCCATAAAAGGATTACTGGGCCCTGTTCAGACACACCTCTTTGGGCAGGAAGTGGGGACGTTCCCTCAGGACAGCCTGCTGGAAAGGGGCATCAGCTGGATAATTGGATCAGCGCCTGGCAAGGGCAGCAGGAACATTCATGGGCCAGCCAAGGGTGACCAACAGGCAGCCTTGCCTCTCTGACTGACGTGACTCACAGGCAGAAAAAGAACAGAGCACCAAGAGTTACAGAATACCAAAGCAGAATGAGAATTGTTAGAAGGCAACTGCAGCTTTTTGGTATAAAGCAAGACATGGGGAAGATTTCCCTCTATGCCACGGGGTCTACCCTATCTGGATGACCTGAACTGGAAAGGCTTCAAATGGAACTGAGGTGTGTGTGTGTGTGTGTGTTCAACACACAAAGCGTGCCTGGTTCAGTTCCTTTCTTCCCTCTCAGCTGCAAGATGGGGCAACATGGCAAACAGTAAGGAAGCACCAACTGGCCCTCAAGGCATTTGCTTAACCCTTCTCCGCTCTCTGATTCTCCAGACCCCCTGAATTACCATTGTGCCCGTCTCGTCCCCTTCAGCATGGATGCAGAAGGCAGAACTGTCCTTCGTCCAGCTTCCGGTGGCGATGCGCACCTTAACTCCGGGCAGCGGCGTCCCAACTGATCCTGGGAAAGAGAAAAGGGAGAGAAAGGGAAAGGCAATGAAAAGAGCCGCATGGGAAGAGACAATCCACGGGGAGGCCCCATAGAAGACGAACCACTGGGGTCTCTCAGCAGGTGAGAGTGGAGAGTGACCAAGTCCCAGGTGATTTCTGCAAATGTGCCTGAAGGAAAGGTTTCATCCTTATCCTCTGGATTGCGCTGCACCAATTAGTGGCCGGGGGACGCCCTCCCCAGCGCCCAGCATCCGAGGACACTGCTGGGCTTCGACCCCGATTCCTCCAATGCCAATTACGAAGAGGGAACAATGGGTGACGCGTCTTATAGAACATTCATGGCTAACTGGCAATGGTAGTTTGTTGCTCCAATGGCAGCACAGCAACTTAATTGTGGCAAAGGCAGGAGATCCCTCTCCAGGAGGCTGCAATTCCCTCCCCACCCCAGGGAAAAAACAGCCAGTCTTTAGATGTTTCATTCAGTTTCTATGTTGCCAAAAGAGACACCTATATAAAGGAAGCTTCACAGAGAGCTGGCTTATTGCTCCCTCTCCCCCCCAAAAAACACAAGCCTTCGAAAGCGGGGGTCTCCAAAAGGATGGGAAAGGCAGACAATGTTAATTATAGTGATACCAGTACGACAGTGCAATTAAAAGTCTTTGTGTGAAGACAATAATTCTTGCTTTTGGGGCCCGAGTGACATTTAAAAATTAAGCCTGCCTGGATAACGGAGGGTCTAATCTGGCTCCTCGGTGATGCAAGCAGAGATAGGGAAGGGAGCAAAGAGGAATCAAAAGCACATCAAGAGTTAAAAAATTTTAAAAGCAGCCTTTGTTTCTTTTTTACTTCTGGCATTTAACCATGGAACCGGGAAGAAATTGCTGCCCCTGCGAGTTAAGAGCTCTTGGACATTTGTCAAACTGGCTCTCCACCATCCCGAGACAGGCAGCTGTCAGCACCAGGAGTGACCCTATTAGTCGCCCAGTTCCTCCTCTGTTTAAGTTAGTTGTCAGCCTTTCCCTGATAAATTTAATTGGCCCTGCGGTCTGTGTCCTTTGGTATCGGGGGACCGGGATGCTGTTATGCATGGCAATGTCCTGGGAGACTTGAAACAGGCCAACAATCAAGCTCTCCACACTCTTGCTGTCAACAATCGACGGAGTCTCCTCTGTAGGAGCTATTAGCCACCTCTGATCTAAACCTCCAATTAAAGTGGTGATTAGGCCCAGCGAGGCATTCACTGGCCATGAATTATTCATCTCCCTTCACAGTAACAACACCAAGGGGGATTCGAGGAAAAGGGGAGGGGGAGGGGAGGAGGAGGAGGAGGGGGAAAGGGCTGCAGAAAACAGAAGCATTTTAAGCAGAGGTTTAACCATCTACAATCAAAACATTTCTCTCTAAATCTCTCATCTCCTGGCCTCTCAAGCAAAAGGCTCCCCCGTACCCTCAGATCTCAGGGCCTTGACCGAAGAAGCGCCGGGGGCCTGGCTGAGGACCCGAGAGGATCCCTGAAGGGGGGGAGCTGGGCAGAGGGAGATGCCTCTGCAAAAGGGGACCCAAGGAAAGGAGAAAAATGCCCAAACACATCTGGAGAGAAAAGTAGAGCAAGTGACGATTTGGAAGGCTGAAACAGCCAGGCAAGGGCCACAAGGACAGAGGCCGCATGTCTTGGGGTGTCTGCAGAGGATGATTAAAAAAAAAGCCAAGATGGCAGCTGTGGTGGTGCAATCAAACCTTACAAACAGGGAGACCTTCGGCTGCACTGTGATGGCTACACCTATGGACACCTCTGCTTGGGCATCTATCTGCACCACAGAGAGAAGCCAAGGAAAGCAGGAGCTTTGCCCCTCTGCCAAGTTCAATGGACGTGACGGCCTGGCGTCTCTCTCAACAGCCTCTGCAGAAGGAGCTGTCCGGTGCTGAAGCTCCTGGCTTTCCCAATGTTCTTGGTCTCTCCTCCTGCTCCTCCTCCTCCTCCTCCTCCTCCTCCTGGGAGGCTTCCATTATATCCTCCAGCTGAATGGAAGGAGGTGAGGCAGGGCCGTCGCTATCTAACCTGAACACCTTGGAGTGCAAATTGTTTGCAGCGGTAATGCACATCCCCGAGATTCAGTTTATCACTGAACTCCATTTGGGGTTTGCCCTTCATAAAAAATATCTCAAGGCAGAGAAGCAGAGATAATTATCTGCCTCAGGGGATTTTTTTTGAAGGGCGAAACACTAGTCGAGTTCAATGATAAATTGAATGTTGGAGGGAAATTCAGGTAATGTAGCTGAGATGACTGTAGCTATCCTGAAACAAATCCCCTGCGTGAGCAGTTCGGTCTTAGGAAACACACTGAACTTTGGATGGGCCACGGTACAAGGTAAGCACCCGCTTTGCATATAAAATGTCAAGGGTTCAGTCCTCAAAGCTGCCAAATTAGATTTGATCAAAATGAAAAGGACCATCTATCCAACCTTCTTCCCAAATGTCTCTGGGAAGCCCACAAAGGGGGTGCGATGCTCACGGCTTGCAGCAACAGATGGGACTACAGAGCGGGCCAACAGGTTGACCTAACGTATATTTTTATACGTCTTGCAAAGACTAATTCTTGGGGTGGTGACTATGCCTGGGTTACTCTCCCACGTTCACCACTTTGCCCTGAGGAGAAATGAGCAAAAGGTCAGCCCCCATGCCAGGATCTTCTTGCTTGTGCAAACCAGGCCTCCAAGAAGGGAACCTGTCTTCAAACCCTCCCAATGATCCAGGAAGCCGTCCAGAGGCCTCTGGGAATACCGGGGGGGTGGGGGGTGTAGGGGTAGGTTGGGACACATGCTAATTAAAAGCAGGGACAGCCTGGGGCTTCCTGCAGGGGGGGGGAGAAACCTTGCTTTGCCTCTTCCTGCTCCAGCCAGGTTCTGTCAGCACAGCCCTGAAGCATTATTCTTCTTTTAATGCTTATAATAATGTGCAGTATCAAAGATGCCAACACGAGCTTCAAAGCAGCTTGGAAATTCTCTCCAGAGCCTCACCTGGAACACGAGGACCGTGCAGTGGGTTGGAAAGTGCCATCCCAATCTCTGTCATCCCATATCTCTCCAAGAGAACGTGGCCCGTAAGGCTCTTCCATCTTTCTAGGACCGGCACCGGGAGGGCCGAGGACCCCGATACCATCAACCTGAAAGCGGAAGGGCCAGTGGGCGTCAGGCACCTTGGAAACAGGCGGGGCAGAAGACCTGCTGCAAGACCTACTCCAAGCCAAGGCAGTGATGGGGAGCACTGGGGCCTCTTTCCAAGGGGGACGTCAGCGTCTCAGGTCTGATGCTCACAATCAGGGCGAAGCAGGAAGCCCTTCACATCTGGCTGCGGGAATCGCCTCTGGACAATGACCTGAGACCACGCAAGGCAGCCAAGCACCGCTTCCTCAGGCCAGCCTGCCCTGAAGCCAGATGCCCCGCAGGCATTGCCATGTACAGAGAGGAGGAAACAGGGCAGGGCTTGCTCTTACAAGGTGGGAACATCAGCACGAGACCTGGACTCCTGCCAGAACAGAAATCGGGCTTTGCGTTTCCATCCTGGAATCCAGAGTGGCAGCCACAGAAATGTGACAGATGGCTTTGAGCAAGGAAGGAGGTGGTCAGCCTGGGTAAGTCCTGGTTCTCCTCTCTCGGGGAAAGCTGCGCCCAGCGAATCAGCCGGGTGGGCAGGCTGAGGACCAGCTCTAGTCTTCAAGGAGACATCCTCTCTCACTGCCCGGCTGGGCCCCCGCAGGGAGTGAAATGCTGCTGGGCCTCTAAAGCCTGGGGGGGGGTCTCAGAAACAAGGTCACTGCCTGGCAGGGATTGCTTCGGGGGGATGCCGAAATCATCCCCCTCCCCAAAGCATCCCAGGAGGGGGTCCCAAAGGCCTTGGAAAGGCATAAAGCATCGCTTACTGAGCCCCAGCACTCTCCCTGCCCCCCCCCCCTGCTGAGATTTGTTTCCCATTTATTCCCACAACTCCAAAATTGACCATAAAAAGCAATTGCTCTCTGTTAAAAATATCAATGTTAATCGTGTTGGAAAGCCTGGGCTCTGGCCTCGCCCTGAAAGACAGCAATAAGGACACCAGGCAGGTGGCTTATACCAGTTGCCAAGGAAAAGGCTCGAAGAAACAATCTCCCGCGAGGGGTCGATGAGCGCAGGGGGCGGCAGCCCAACTTCCCCCCAAGTCCTAAGCCCTTTGGGTTGAAAGCCCCTGTTTTTCCTAGCTTGCCTTGGATTGAACCCGCTTCCCGGTGGGACCAAGAAGTTCTTGGGAAATGTGTTTAATTTCAGGCTCCCCGACCAGCGGCTGTTCTCCGACTGCTTGGAGAAGCTCAGACTGCCTGAGGCACGTGGGGAGGGGACCCCTTGCCGTTGGGTTGGAAGGAAGGAAGGGCTGGGCTGGGGAAGAGAAGCTCAGCTCTGCTGGAATGAGACAAGGAGGGCTCACCTACCGGATATGATCCTGGCAGACGGCATGGATGAAGTCCTGGACGCATGGCTGAGAGAAATGCTCATCATAATAAGCAATCAGTTTGCTGTAAATGGTTGGCACTGCCATAAAGACGTTGACCCGGGGAGCCTGGAGACTCAGGAGGGCTTCCCAGACCTGGAAGAGAGGGGAACCGGCTCTGAGAAGATCCCTGCACATGTGCAAGGTCACTCCGGTGTTCTGGGCTCAGAGAGGCGGCTCAGAGCTTGTGGCTCTGCCCCAGGCAGGACCGAGAGGAGGAAGAAGGCGCATCGAGTCATTGGGGAGCCAAACCACAAGCCGGCACTAAGCCACATGCTGAGCAAATGCTCGCTCCCCAAGGCCATGTGACAGGCACAGACCGAGTCCAACCTCCACATCCAGCCAGACCACTGGGGCCTCCCCAGGCTGTCAGCCCGAGGAGCCCTGAGAGGCCAGGCCTCGTCATGAATATTGAAGCTTGGCTAATTTGCCCCCAATTCTGCCGCTGGTCTCCCTCAGTGAGTAAGGAAGAATGAAAAACCTATGAATAAATAAAAGACGGTCTCAGCTCTGTTATGGCAACCTTTTCCATCCTGTTGCTGACAAATGTATTTCCTAACAACTCATGACACGGGGGGACCTTCCAGCCTTCTCTGGCGCAAAGCGATGCCAAGCGTGGTGGTGAAGAGCTGGGCTGTCTGAAAGAGGAGCAACAAGGGGAAAACAGAGGGCATCTTCCAATCACCGGCAGAGGGAATGTGCTCGAGTCCATAAATGGATTTTAGTTGAGAGCGAAGGCTCACTGGCTGCTGGGGGAGCCATCACCGAAGGGGCCCTGAGCGGAGTGTTTCTTCTTTGGCAGAACTCAAGTTGGCAACCAGTATTTATATCCTGGGTATGTGATGCTAGGACAGGATAAACATATTGCACAGAACACTCTGCTGGGGGGACCCAACGGATCTGGGTGGGAACATCCATCTGATCTCAGGAAGCTAAGCAGGCTGGACCTGCTTCAGAGCGGAGCTCTCGTTTGTCTGCCCAACAAGAGCCTCTCCTGCTGAAGGGCTGGGAGCTGCTGCCAGTCAGAGCTGGCAATACTGGCCAAGATGCGTCATGCTGGCTGGGGAATTCTGGACGTCTTCACATCTTAAAAGTTATCAAGTTTGGAAAACATTGCTCTAAATGCGTTCCAGTTAATCCAGATAGCTAAGGATCTCCTTGACTCAACTAATCCAGCTGAGCAGTGCTGCAAGAGAATACTTTGCCCCCAGCACGATCCCCTGGACACTCCCGGCCTCGGAGCCTGGCCTGTGGAGCCACCGAGATGCTGCCTTCCTTTGGTATGCTGACCGTTGCCTTCCCTTTCTTGGGGCACCGTGAGTGCAGCCAATTCAAGGAGAGAGCAGCCAATTCAAGTCAAATGCCAAAAGAGCAAACAAAACCCTGCAGACCCGCTTGGCAGCCAAGTCCAGTGGTCAGTGCAGGGGCAGGGAGGGCCCTGGCCAGACACATGCCAAGACAAAAAGCGGGCAGGGACACCACCCTTCTTGACCTGTGTGGGTGCCCTCCAGAGAGCCAGGTTTGGCCATCCTGGAGACAATAAGCGGGCTGCCACGTTAGGTGGGTGAATGCTCGGGTGCACCTAGAAAGGGTCACCATTGTGCTCCCTCCAGCTGCCAGAGACCCAGCTCACCTGGGCGCCTTCCTCCATGGGAGCTCCTCGCTGTTTGCTACACCCTCAAATTGCTTCTGTGCTGGGCACGGCTCTTCCTCTGTCAGTTCTGTTATGTCTTCAGTATTGCGGCTACCACTTTTAAACCCCCGCTCTGCTGCGGGCACGTTCAAAGGAGCAACACTTTCCCCGGCCTTGGGAATCTAACAAAATATGACAGGCCCCCGTGTCCTATTTTTTTCCTTAATAATCTCTCCCTCCTTTCTTCCCTTCTCCACTTTCGACATCAAAAGGCATTACTCTGCAGCAGAAGCTGAGGACAAATGGCAGTTCTGGCAAGAAGGAAAGGAAAACAATAACTTTTTTCCAAGTGGAGATTTGAGAAACAGACCCTGTATAATCGACCACTGATGACTGCCCCTCGAATGCCACCATCCCCCTCTGAGCAGGAAGCAGGAGGAAGAGAGGAACAAAAATCAATTTAATGGAGCTGGGGGGTGGGGGGGTGGAGGACATGCGTAACTTTCTCCAAGAAACAGTCAAATTTGGAGGGAGCTGGGAGTAATGTCAAGTTTTTGCTCACCCCACTTTTACAGAAAATCAAATGAATGTTTATTGGAAGAGAATAAGATGAGATTGCAGAAATTGATTTTTTAGAATCCAATTCCTCTCCCACGTTCTGCAGGGGATGCCTCCTTGGTCTCTTTCTCCAGGCCTGGCTTATGGGTGAAGTGGCCAGGAGGCTTTAGTGGACAAAGGTCTGGCTGGTTGGAACAGGGCTCTCTGTTCTCTCTGCAGGGACAGGGGTTAGGGTGACGCCACAGCACCCCAAGAATGCAGCCTGCCTCTTAATTTGCTTTCTTTAGAAAGCAAATAAACCAGCCTGCTTTTGAAGCACTTGTATCACCTGGCCTGACAAGCAGGACATAGGCTTAAGTCAGGGCAGGAAAATGGCCCCGCCCTCCCTGCAAAATCCTCTCCCTGTAAATAAATCTGTCTGGATCCCTGGCAAGAACATGATCTCCCAGCCTGCTGACCAGGGGGTGGAGGGAAGGAAAGGGAGCCGGGAAAGCAGCCTCAGAAAGACAGAAGAGTCTTCCTGAAGTTAGATCTCACTGTACGGCTTGTTCAATGCTCCTTTCCCCACTTCTTGGTTTAGTTAAACGTGAAGATAGCAGGATGTGAGCTAGGCGGGAATTCCCTGAGCCAGAAAGGCTCGTCTTCCTGAAAAGAGGCCCCGATCTTTCCCTGCTGCCTCCGCAAATTCTTCCCTGAGGCCCTAGAGCAGGGGTCCTCAACCTTAGCAACTTTAGGACTTGTGGACTTCTGAGGAATTCTGGAAGTTGAAGTCCACAAGTCTTAAAGTTGCCACGGTTGAGGACCCCTGCCCTAGAGAAACTTTTGGGGCCCAGCCTCCGTGGGGCTGCAGGAGTGGCCTGGCCATACCCCAAGGCCTCATTCTGCTGCTGCCCAGCCTGTCAAGTTCTCCAACAGCAGACGAGGGGAGCAGCCCCCGACAGCGTTCTGTTAAATGCTCTGGCTGCTTCTACCCGATTCCTGGACAGGTCACAAAGGAAACAGTTGATCCTACACGGAACATGGTAGGCAAATGACTGAGCTCAGCTGCCACCTGTATCTACAACCACAGGGCCACGCTGTGAATTAAGTAATCTAATGAACACTGTAATAATAAAGTATTTATTGCACATAATGAAGTGTTAGTGATTAGAAAGGTTGGGTGTTCTGCGGCGGTTTCTCCTGAACCCGTGCCAGTATCACTCAAGGCAGATTCGGTGGCAGCCGCCGCTGCTTTCAAAGCTAGTCCTGACTTTGTTTTGATTGACATGTCAGCCATCAAAGCTGCGGCTCCTTTATATCACTCTGTAATTGACTGCTCTCTCGAGGTGCAGAGAAACAGAAACACAAAAGGCTGAAGGAAAACCGAGAGCTCCTTCGGAGAAATCCTCCGATGAAACACGCCGCTTTGCTGAGAGCCAATTTTGGAAGCAAAGGGCACTTTGTAAATAGGCTGGAATTTAAAGACAGCTTGTGTTAAACACAACAAGAAAGCACAATTTGCCCTCGTGCGCTTTCTTTGTCACGTCAATGAAAACACTTTCCTGCTCCCTCGGGAGGCTCTTACACAAATAATGACAAGGGAAAGCGTAAACAACAGCAAAGCCCCACCAACGCTCTCCGGACCCTTCGCATGGAGGAAAAGGGCCGGCAGCTGGTCTCTGGCTCCTCGTTCTCATGCCAAGAACCTGCTCCAGCAAAGAACCTTCTGGAGAGCTGCCCACTCTCGCCCTCGCCTGGCACGGTCCAAAGGGGGCCTCAGCTGAGCCTGCCTCCCACCACTCACAGAATCCCAGGGCTGGAAGGGACCGTGGAGATCTTCTAGTCCAACCCCTCCCAAGACAGGAATCCTCATGCCATCCCAGACAAATGGTGAGCCAATCTCTTCTTGAAAAACCTCCAGTGATGGAGCACCCAGGACTCCAGGAGGCAAGCTGCTCCGTTGATTAAATGGTTAGAGAAATGCCCACTACTGGAGAAGGGAGGCCGGTTTTGAACCCCTTCAGATGGGAGCCGCCCTCAGCAGCAACTCAGGGAGCCGCAAGTGGAGCAGGCTGGCAGAGGAGCACAATAAGCCAGAGCGGGGATGGCTGGTCTTCCGTTGGCAATATGGCCCTCTTGGCAGGCATCTCTCCTAGGATGAGACGCTGCAGGAGATGCAAGCTGGCAGCTGTTGTGGAGACGGTTTTGTGTGTCGCAACTTTTATTTCAATGAAGCAGAACGGGAGTGCCAGAGCTAGAAACTGGAACCTGGGGCTATCTCATTCAGTGAGCCAGCAAGGCTGGAGCATCTCTCCAAGCTGACAGGATCTCTCCTCTACTGGAACGTTCTGCTCACTGGCTCCCTCGGAAGGAACAGCTATAAGGCCATCCTGTTCAAGACAGGCAAGGGCAGCATTTCTTGAAGATGGCCTTTTCTGGCTCCTACTCATCTTGGGCTCCTGCTGGCTCCCACCAGTTAGCTTGGAGTAAAGATCTACTCAGTTCTGGAACATCTGGTGATGTTTCTCAACTGCCCTGAACTGTTCAATACTTAAACCATGATGTCCCAGGAAGGATGCAATTCTAGTGGGATTCTTCCTAAGGTGAAGGAGTACCACAACCATTGTGAGGCTGGGTGAAGTGTAGGAAAAGGGAAAAGTTGAAGATTTTCTTCACCAACAGCAGAATGCAAAACTTAACTTACATAAAACAAGACACTAACATGACTCCCATTCCACTTTCTCACACTCGTTCAGAGTTTAGACAAAAGAAATTAGATGAACTAATAATATTCATTATTTACATGGCCATTGGAAGGGTGTTTTAAAAATATGAAATGAGTGTCTTTTAATATCCAATGTGATTAAAACCCAGCAGGCTTTTTTATGTTAGCTGAGTAAGGACTGCTTCTGCTTTGCTAGAGAACCTGCCATTTAGGAGTTGAACCAAGGTGTTTTGTTTCTGTCTTTCCCTGGCCACATTTTGAGTGAAATTCACAAGATCGTCAGTTGCTTGTATTTCCCCAGTATTAGGCAAGGCCTATTTGGGGAAGCACTTTCCCTGGTATCTGCACTCTCTGATAGCAAGAAATGTGCACTCTTCATGCAAGTTTACAATACTTTTCCAGCCATTTTTATTTATTTATTTTCTTTCAATTCTAAATCACATTGTGACCATCACTGATGCAAGCAAAAGGCTCTCAGAAATGAGCTTTTTAACCAACATGCCACACATAAACAGTAACCCTGGCTGAGAGGAGATGAACGACAGGAGAACGGTTCTGGCTATGCCTATAACTGCTAGGATTTTCACCTGGTATTTCATTTTGCAGACGCAGATGCCCCTCCTTTTTCCTACACCATCAAGGTTGATAGAGGCTTCCGGGCATAAATATCCTGGTCAAATTCTCGGCTCTCCACATCCTGCCCCCAAGCAGTTCACAACAAGAGAACTGCTGTGTTATGCCTTTCATCTGCTTTACTAGGGCGCTTCCTCTGCGATACAGTGGATGCATCAAAGCTCCATCCAGTCCTGGAGCCACAATCTCAGCATGTGGCACAAGGTTTATGTTGCTGCAGCAGTGAGAGACCTAGCAACCCAAGGGAGATGTGGGGGAGACCCACTAGCAACTACCTCAAAGGGTCCCCTGACTGCAAGATGCAAATCACCCCTTCCCTGAAAATCTGTTAAGAGCCAAAACCCACTTAGAGGGTTTCTTGCCTTTTCCTATAAAAAAAAAAAAATCACACACCATCAAAGGCAAACAAAAATACAAATCTGTAACTCTGACCAAGTGCAACATTCAATTGGAAAAAAAGGCCAAATTTCCGGTACCATTACTTTGCAACTTGGAGAGAAGGAAGTAGCCCCTTCCATTCCAGCCCACTTACCATTTCTGCACTAAACTCGGGAAGCATGATGCAGGTGGCGCCCACCCAGAGGGGACACAGCAGCTTGTTGACCACCCCATGGACATGATGCAAGGGCAGGACATGGAGAATGACATCATCATTTGTCCAGGCCCATTTTTCAACCAGCCCGGTTATCTGCAAGGATAATTAAGCAATATTCAGTATTAGGGGGGGAAAGCAGAATTCCACAGATTGATGCTGCTATTGAACCAGAGATTGCTTCAAACAGGATTACGTTCTGGATTGTAACCACGATTTTTAACTGAGGTCCAATGCAGAAGACCAACTATCAACTCACCATAGCATGGACATTCTGGTGACTGCTTAGGACCCCCTTGGGCCTCCCTGTGGTCCCACTGGTATAGATGATCATGGCCCCTCTGTTCTCCCACTCTGAAATGGGGCAACCGGCATCTCCAGCAGATCCATCCATTGTCCCTTCCCACTTCCCAGACTGGGGAAGCGAGAGCACAGGCACCCCCAGTTTCTCAACAGTCGGGGTAATTTTCTCCTCAAACTCTTCCTCGGCAAGCAGAAGGGCACTTTGGGAGTCCTGGATGAAGTACTCCAGTTCTGACACAGGATGCTTTCTGTACAGAGGCACAGCAATAGCTCCACTCATCCAGGTAGCCCACTGGGCAACGACATAGGAAGCATCGTTGGGGCATAAAAATGAAATCCGTTCACCCTTCAGGTCACCATCTGAGTTTCCAAGGGCCTTGCAGATTTTCTGAGAGAGGTAAAGACTTCGAGTGTACAAATCTTTGTAGGTGTGTTCTCCTCTTTGATCAATGATGGCTATGTTTTCTCCAAAGGCGGATGCTCTGGTGAAGACAGGGGCAACTTTTCTATAAGCCGATATCCATCTGGCAGGCAGTTTTGTGAGAGGACAGAAATGAGTGCGGAGGCTGAAACAGTCACGTCCTAGAAGAGGCTGGCAACATGAAAAAACATGGATCAAGTGCCTCCTGTTAAAAAGCAGACAGGAGCCTAACATTTTCTGGTATTCCTTGGATAAAAGTAGTGCTGAAAAAAAGAAAGGGGAAAACT